AACATTTTTCTCTCCATGTGAATATCAGAAAATCCCCGAAGGCAGGTGAGGCTGGGAACCCTCTTGATCTGAAAAGAGGAGACGGACAATGTACTTCATGCCACCCACCCACCCCGGTCAGTTCCTGCTCAGCAGCTCCTCTGCTCTGAAAGCATTTCAGGCACCTCCCTGTAAAGCCCTTGAGGGCCACTCAGGTTGCCAAAAACAATGAAGCCCACGACACCTCAAGGCTGTGACTCTCCCTTCCCCCGAATTCCCACTGTGCTTGCTTACAGTTTCTCATTTGTGAAAAGCTTCTGCCTCAGCAGCCTGCCAGCTCTCATTACCTGGCAGGTAGGAGAAATTGCTGGTGACACTTTACTTAGGCTGATAACAGGGTGTAGCTGCTACATCGTTTCTGTTCCTGCCTCCCCACGCAGGATGTGGCTGGGAGAGCAGCCCTGCATTTTAGCAGCAGGGTTGTGGAATACAAAAGAGGCTGCCTGTGAAACCTCCGCATGATGAAATCCAGAGGATTCTTCTTCGATTCGGGGTGCACGACAAACATTAGCAAGCAGCCTCTGCTGCATTTCAAATGTGAGTGCAAGACACGCTCATAATCGCTGGAGAAGGAGGAGGGAACAAATAGCCCGGTGGCTCTGGAGACAGAGCTATGAAATTGCAGGCGCCAATTTGGCGCCATCAGGTTTCTTTGCTCGCTCTGGACCAATTCTCTCTGTGGACAGTGCATATCATCTTTTCTTCCTTTGATACAGGCCTTTTTTTAATGATTTCTTTTCAGCCACCCGTCCTCTGAGGCGGGGAAAGGCACACACAGAGACTTTCCCCTTTGCATTTCTTGTCTTATCCTGGATTTGTTAATGAGGATCTTATCCAAAATCTTGCCTCAGGTCACCTTCACTGGCTCTTAGTTTCATCATGTAAAATCCATGTGTTTATTCAAATAATAGTTCATCAGGACTGAGTCATGCTTAATCAAGCAGCAGCCTGAGTAGTGATAATCATGACATTCTTGGGTTCTTTTCAGACAGATTTCTGTGATGTAATGGAAAGCTCACATCATCTAGCCATGGAAATTGAACAGATCAGCAACAGAATGCACATGAAATGTCATTTTTGTGAGGGAGGTGTGGCCAGAAGTAACTGACCAGGGCCTAGATCCTGAAGTGTTGGTTGAGTGAATCAAAGAAGATGAGGCAGAGCGCGGAAGGAATCAGCATCCTGACAGGACAGAACTAGGACCAGCATTGGAGGGAGCAATGAGGATGCACGTGTTAAGGAAGGAGAGAGCAGGAAAGGAGGGCATTCCTTTTGGCAAATGGAAGGGAACAGATAGGAAGGGAAGCACCATGTTGGAGCAAGTCCTTGAGTTCCTGTCCATGATTGGGCAATGGAGAAACTAAATTGCAGGATAAGTTGCAGGAATTAGGTTGGAGGAACTGGGTATTTCTAGTCTAGTGAAAAGAAGCACCAAGGGCGATAGGATAGCAAGTCTTCTAATATTTGAGGGGTTGCCAGACAGAAGAGAGGATCAACCTATGTTCCAGAGCATCAGAAGGTAAGAAACTCATCAAGGAGGGAAGCAACCTAGAACTAAGAAAAATTTCCTGACAGTGAGAACAATCAACCACTGGAAGAGCTTTGCCTTCAGAAGCTGTGGGCGCTCCATCACTGGAGGCTTTCAAGAAGAGATTGGGGAGCCATTTGTATAGAATTGTGTAGGGTCTCCAGCTTGAGCAAGGGGTTGGACTAGGAGATTTCCAAGATCTCTTCCAACTCTATGATTCTGTATTGTGTAAAAAATTATTAAGTATATTAAAGGTGACTTTGAATGTGAGAGTTGATACTGGATTTAATTTCCATTGATCCCAATGGAAATTGGAATCTGCTCCCCTAGAACTCCAAATATTTGTTGTTCATTTATTTTATTTGTACACCATTAACAAAATAATCTTGCCTCAGGTCACCTAATTAAAAAATGGGAAAAATACAACTTCACACATCAAATTAAAGAAAGGGAAAAATCTGTTTTTAACAAACCCAGGCTGGCTTTCAGGTATAACTCCCTTTGTTTCTAGATGTTTGCAGATATTATTATTATTATTATTATCATCATCATCATCATTATTTCATTATTTTAATTTTTATTTCCAATCTGTCTTTTACAGTTACATTTTGGGTAGGTTGGGTTTCTTTTTGCATGAAGTCCAATGCAAAGAATGAATGTTACTAACTTAACAATTGTAACAATTGATTCACTTAGTAACTGTGTCATGAAAGGTCATAAAATGGAGCAAACCTCACAGAACAACTGTTTTACTTAGCAACAGAAATTTTGATTTCAATTGCAGTCATAAGTCAAGGATTCCCTGTACGGTTTGTTGCTTGCTGGTTAAGACCAGCACCACTGGAAGAGATTTTTAGTCCTTTTATCCTGCTTGTATACATTGTATTAAGGTGGGGGGTATGATGAAGACAGGATCAGACCTTCAATGGCGCTGACATCTCCAGAGGGGCTTAGAACACCCATCCAGCATGCAGGATTGAGCGTATCTGGGTTTGGGAGCAAATAGTAGGGCAGCGCCACCATCTAGTGGCCAATGAGGGAAGGAAGCCCACAGCATTTCCAGAGTTGTTCTAGGGCAACTTTAAGACTTGTGGACTTCAACTCCCATGCCGAGCTGTGGCTCTTTCTCAGCTGGTGCTTCTCCACAAGCAACTCCATCGTTTCAATAGATGAGAGAGTTATTCTGTTGACATTTGGCAGTTTAGGGCATGATGTAGTTGCTTGTGGAGAAGCACCAGCTGAGAAAGAGCCACAGCTCAGCATGGGAGTTGAAGTCCACAAGTCTTAAAGTTGCCAAGTTGGGGACCCCGGTTCTAGGGAGAGTCAGCCTTGTTTTGAGTTTGGGTTCTGGACAGATGAGGCAGTTGCACTCCAGTCACAAAAGGCTTTGAGGCATCGAAATTGTCTTTAGGAAAAACCGTGAAAAATTCCCCATTGTACAGAATAAGTAAAATTTTACAAGACAGCTGTTCTGGTGTGGTGGTTAAGGCACCAAGTTAGAGTCCAAGGGACTGTTATGTTCTTGGCCTGCAAAGCCCTGAGGTGCAAAGCCAGCTGGGCGATCTTGGGCCAGTCATTCTCTCTTGGCCCTAGGAAGAAAGCAATGGCAAACCACTTCAGAAAAACCTTGCCAGGAGTCAACGTTGATTTGAAGGTAGAAATTACAATGATATAATGTCTATGGAGATAGTCAGTCATCCAGGTCATGGTCGTCCCAAAAGTGCTTTTTCAAAAGGCAACTGGACTTCCTTGGTTTTTGCTTTAAGACATTTCGCTTCTCATCCAAGAAGCTTCTTCGGTTCAGAACTAAAAAAAGCTTCTTGGATGAGAAGTGAAACTTTTTCAAGGAGAAACAAAGTCCAGCTGCCTTTTGAAAATGCATCTTCTAGACTACAAAGATACAAGTTTTATAATGACTGATTTGATGCCTTGTACTAAGCTAGGATTTGCTTCACATGGTTTATTCAATGAATGACACTTTCCTAATTCAGAAAACATGACTTTCAAAACAGATTGGCTGGATTCACATAAGATGGCCAGTTTTTAGAATAAACCCACATTGTGGCCTGAATCAGTGCACAAATGGCCGAGCTGTGGATGAAAACACGTACTTCCTCCTACTTCTTCTTTTGTGTAAGTAGTGGTGTGTTAAATAACAACCGGGATGTCATCAGACTTCTGTTCAGGGGAAGGAACTATTTTGGCCTCTGCTGCTGGATCCCATAATCCCAGATGACTGGTTAGGGGTGTCCATATTCGGCTGAAAAGGGTGGAGTTCCACAGCATTTAGAGAGCACCTTTCTTGCTCTTTCCTTTCTTCATTTCCAGTTACAAAAACAAGAGGAAATTGGATTTTTTGAGCCATATGCCTCAGCCCCAGAAGCAGGAACTGAAGCGGCCCAGAGATCATCTATTATTCTATAGACACCTAAGAGAAGGGCTGTTAAGAAACCATCTTGCTGAGGAGAAATGTCCCCCAATGTTTGACTTTAACTGGGGTTATTAAAGAGGTCAGTTATTCCCAAAAACCAGCAGGCCATCAAAAGGTTTACACTAGAGCTATTGCAGATAATTTTTCTCAGGGCCTCTGTCTCTCTGAGATGACTACAGGCAATCCTCCACTTACAACAGTTTTTAGTGACTGATAACAGATAACAGGTAATTAGAATTGGAAGGGGCCTTGGAGGTCATCTAGTCCAACCCCCCACCCAAGCGGGAGGCCCTACACCATTGTTGACAGATAGCAGTCCAGTCTCTTCTTGAAAGCTTCCAGTGATGAACCCCCACAACTTCCAAAGGCAACTTCTGTTCCATTGGTTGATTGTTCTCACTGTCAGAAAAATTCTCCTTATTTCTAGGTTGAATCTCTCCTTGATCTGTTTCCATCCATTATTCCTTTTCTGGCCTTCAGGCACTTTAGAAAATAGCTTGACCCCTTCCTCCTTTCTGTGGCAGCCCCTCAAATATTGGAAGACTGCTATCATGTCTCCCCTGGTCTTTCTCTTCACTAGACTAGCCATTCCCAGTTCCTATGAAAGTTCTTCATATGACTGTTCAAAGTTATAAAAGCACTGAAGTATAACAACACTGAGAAAAAGTGACTTCCGGTGGCACTTCCATTGAAGACAGTCAGAGACCGCTATTGTGTGTGGCTCGGGTCCGTGTTTCCCTTGTCGGAAGGGTCCCTACGGGACCGGTGTCATCCTGACTCACCTCAGAGAGGTGGGTGAAGAGGGGGAGACCGCCAGCTGGGTTGAGGGGAGCCGCATCTCCCCTCTCTGGCTAGGTATTACTCCCCTGGAAGACAGAGTGAAACGGCAGTCTAAAATGGCCGCCCTGAAGATGGAAAGCTGCCGGGATCTACGTTTTGCGCTGGAGTGGTGAAGTGGTGAGCAACGTGCAACCAGATAAAAGAACTTGGTTTTTTCTTAACAACTCCGAGAAGTAAAAAGAAAGTGCCCTCGCGTAAGAGTACATAGCGGCGAACAGAAAAAAAAGAGGAAAATACAAGGTAAACAAAATTGGTTCATAAAAAGCTACAATGAAATTAGAGACTAAACTTTGCGTAATATAAACTGGCATTAATTAGGCATTGGATTAAATTCTGGACTAGCCTGGAATTGGTTAATATTAAGAAAATTAATTGTGGAAATGTTTGGAAATTAATGTTTAATATAATTAAAAGAGAAAATAAAAGAACTTTAAAAAGTGGAAAGTGATACAGAGTGCCATCTAATGGTCAAATACTTTTTCTCCTACAAAATTATATAGAAGTTTCCTGGACTTCTAATTGTTATGAAATAAAAGACAAATAAAATAATAAGAACCCCAGAATTTTTGAAAAAAGGGGGAGAAATTTTACCAAGAGGATATACCAAAAAAAACACTGTTTTCAGTCTGATCTAAGTATGGTATATAAAATCATACATTGCAATGAATTACTGGTCAATTAATGCTTCAGCTTCAACCATAACAACACAAGAGCAAACACTAGATACAAACTCAAGGTTAACCGCACCAAACTTGATTGCAGGAAATACGACTTCAGCAACAAAGTGGTCAATGTCTGGAATACTCTACCTGACTCTGTGGTTTCTTCCCCAAACCCCAAAAACTTTAACCTTAGACTGTCTACTATTGACCTCACCCCTTTCCTAAGAGGTCTGTAGGGGGCATGCATAAGCGCACCAAGTGCCTACCATCCCTGTCCTATTGTTTCTTTTATTTTTCTTATACGTACCCATTTCATGTATTCATAACTACATATATACTGATACCAATTACCTTGTAAGTGATTGACAAATCAAAATAAATAAATAAACTTCCTGGGACTGTTGGGTGTTGATTGTGACAGAGACAGAAGGATTAACAAAAGAAATAAAGATAAAAGGAGACTTTTGGCAAGGATTGCAATAGAAGACTGAATATTAATAATTTATTATAAAAATGGAAGAAATAAGCAAAGACTTTAAGTTGGAATCACAATGGTAAAAGGAATGTTGAAAGAAAGAAGGGAATTATTGGAAATATTGGAAAAGAAAATAATGGCGATGGTTGAAGGACAAAGAAATTTCAGTGAGGCGGAGTTAAAGGAAGAAGAAAGAGGCTCAGACAGATATGGAGAACAAGAGACATCGCCAAAAGACACTAAAGGAATTAAAACTATGATATTGATGACAGACTTAATAAATAAAAGAGAAAATGCTCCCAGGATTAAACAAAAGAAGAAGAAATTATACAAGAAGAAACTTCAAAAGACAGAACAGGAAGGGGGATGGGTGAAATGCTAGAAGGAAAGAAGGAAGACCAGGGAAATTTAGAAAAGGGAAAGTTGGCTAAAATTAAAATAAATAATAAAGCCAAAAATTTAGAGATAAGGGTTAGGGATTCTGTAAGGGGGATACCACATGGAACATATATTGGCGTTTAATTTAAAACTTGTATGGAAATATCTTAGGAATGTGTAATTACATATATATATATGAATATTAACTGTATATAACATGTGTTGTTATTAATCCTTTTCTTTTTTGGAGGATCAAAACAAGGGAATGGAAATGAAAAAAAAAATGATTATCAATGATTATAATAAAGTGAAGACAAAATGAGAGATATTAAGAAGTTATTTTAGTGATTTATTGGAAGGGATATATGACAGTTGACTATATATACAGTTGATTGATTATATAATTATGCTATTATGATTAAATTAGGGGAATGGAAAATACCATGTGGATCCTAAATATATTGGTTTTATCTATATTTTTACTTCTTAGATTGTTTATTATATATTGGCTTAGAGAAAACTAAGGATAATAATGATGTGTAATGTAAAATAAAATAGGTGGTAAGCTGAAAATGGAAATAATAGGGGATAAAGATTTGAAAACTTATATATGGATAAAATGATATTGATATTGAATCAACGAACTGAAACATGACGTGCAAATTTATTTAAAGATGAGTGAAATGGATAATGATATGAGTTAATATTATATAAGATCAATGGAAATGAAAGTATGACTATGTGCAAGTGTTATTGTCAGCCTTCAAGATTTCCTTCCTTTGTTTTGCATCTTTCAGCTGTCATAAGTAATGGGGAGGAGGGGGGACATAGTTATGGGAAGCGAGCTGGGGGTTTTACAAAAAAGAACTGAATAAGTTGGGGGGGAGTTTCTTGCTTAGGTTTCTTTCCTATGCTATGCGCAAGTGCAGCTCTTTATCAAAATATGTCAAGGTCAACGGTCAGAGGCCTCATCACCACCTGGAGATGCCCACATGACATTACACACAACTTTTTATGGGATGGACAGTTTGAACCGTTGTGGGTGGAACGTTGCCATCACTTTGTATATGTGATTTAAGCGGTCATTTTCTCAGATTCGGAATTCCTTTGATGCTACCACTTGATTTCCAGTAAAAGATATCTTTTCTCTAATTAATGGAGTCTAAGTATTTCTTTCTTGGATTTTGAATGGAGCACCAGCTGACATTATTCTGAATCTCACTTTACCAGCCCACCCAGAGAAATAATAAATTTTCTTCTGAGGGGGTCTGAACACAACGTCAAATCCAGCCAGAGACCAAGAAGACCTGGGAGCAACTGGAGGACCAGCTTCCCCACTGTTAGAGGCAGCAGCAGGGGAAGCTGAGTTGTTAGCAGAACTACATCTTGATGAAAAACCAACTGTAAAGCCCAAATGGTCTCTGGGAGTTGGCTGGAAGAATCCGGAGGAAGATCCCCCTCCAGGAGTGACCACTACCAGACAGCGTAGAAGAGAAGAGCCATGGCGAGAGGATGAAAGAAAGAATTTTTTATTAGCTCAAGCCCTGCATCTTCTAAATGAAGCTGCCCGGGGAACTCAGACTGATCAAAGGTATGAGAGGGAAGAGGGGGAGGCAGCCTCAGCTAGGAGAGCCCAAGCAGCGACCCCCCCATAAATCAACCTGGGCCGGCACAACAGGCGGCAGCAGCCCAGGGGCCCCCAGTGGGGGGAGTGATTGCCAGAAGACGTAGAACTCCAAAGGTGCCTCCGTTGGAAGTAAAATATGGGGGGGGGTGGGGGCAAGGAGTTAGGTTTCTTCCTGGCACAAGTCTGGAGCCACATGGAAGAATATGGGGAGGATTTTTCCTCGGAAGCAACCCAAGTCAGATGTGTTATCAGGGCTCTCGAAGGGACAGCTGCAAAATGGATGGTGACTTTGCATAATGATAATGCCCCCCCAGCTGATGAATTATGATCTGTTCATGACAGCGCTGTGTGCCAGATTTGAAGACCCACTTGCTGAACGTAAGGCCAGAATTAGGATGAAGACCGTAAATCAGGAGCGGAGATCAGTGGCCGACTACATCCAGGAATTTAGAGAGCTGGCGTGTCATATTCAAGGCTGGTCCTAGGGAGCCCTGATGAAGCTTTTAAAGATGGATTGAAGGAAGAGGTATATCAAAGCTGTATTGCCAGAAGAGACCCCAGTGAGCTGCAGCTGTGGTACGTGCTGGCAGCAGAAGTGGAAATTGATCTGACCCGAAATAGACGCAGGGGTGGCCTTGGTTGGAGCAAGTCATCCCCCACCAGCCCTTGAGAAGCCTCAAAACCTCAAAAGGGAGGGCTGGCGGCAAAACCCAAGACTACAGCATGCTTCTGATGTGGGAAGGAAGGTCACCAGGCTGTAGACTGTCATACCAAGCTGGAGAAAAAGTGGGCACCAGAAGGAAGAAGAAAACCTGAAAAAACTCCAGTCAAGCTTTGCAAAATGGCTCTTAAAGTGGAAGAGGTTGTAGAGATCGCCCCTCCGAAAGGAGAGGAGCTGGGAACTCCAACCTCTTCTGAAGAGAGTGAATCCGAATCGGAAGACGACTCACTGGTAAGTCCAAACAAGGGCCCTATGACCATCCCAGTGAGATTAAGGGTACCCACATTGGGAGCCCAAGGGGAAATGTTGGCCTTGTTAGACTCTGGGTGCATAAGGTGTGTAATCAGCTCAGAAGTCGTAGAGAAAATGGGTTTAAGGCTAAAGACTTTAAAAACACCCATAGCATTTTGCCAACTGGATGGATCAGTAGCTGGGGGCGGACCTGCACATTTCATAATGGAACCAGTAGAAATGACGATGGGGAAGCATAGAGAGACCTTGTGTTTTATTGTTGCCCCTGGGATGGAGCGCCCCCTACTACTGGGTTTGCCCTGGCTCCGGAAATGGAACCCCCAAACTGACTGGAGGAGGGGAATCACTGCACATACGTACTGACCAACCCCCAGAAAGGGAGGGGCAATCTCAACAGAAACCCCAGAATCCCACAGAGCTGGCTTCCACTGGCACTGAGAATCTGAGGGGGGAGGAGAAAATTCCTGAGGAATATTGGGATTTAAAGGAGGTATTCCGTGAGAAGGCTTCAGACGAGCTTCCCCGCCATTGCTCAACAGATTGTAGTATTGAAATTTTGCCAGGAGTGAAACTCTCAAAACCGAAACTGTACTCGATGATACCGCGGGAGCTAGAAGAGCTGCGGTCATTTATTGATAAAAATTTGGAACGTGGTTTCATATAACCTGCTAGGCCTCGAGTAGCGGCCCCAGTATTATTCTGTGAGAAGAAAGATGGCTCTCTTCATTTGTGTGTGGATTATAGGAACTTAAACGCCATTTCGGTGGAGAACGTGTACCCCTTCCCCTTGATGAAGGACATGTTGGCCCACTTAGCCAAAGGGAAATTCTTTATGAAACTCAATCTGAGAGAAGCTTACTACCAAGTTCAAATTAAAGAAAGAGATGAATGGAAAGCTGCTTTTAACTGCCCAATGGGGTGTTTCCAGTTCAACGTTCTTCTGTTTGGCCTACAGGGGGCCCCTGCAGTATTCATGCAAATGATAAATCAGGTTTTTCATGAACATTTATACAAGGGGGTGCTGGTTTATCTTAATGATATTCTTATTACTGAGACTCCTGATGAACATGTGAAGCTAGTGCGTTCAGTTCTGAAAAACTTTGAGCTGCTGAACTGTACGTGAAGTTGTTCAAGTGTGAATTCCACCAGGAAAAAAATGACTATTTAGCCTATTGCCTATCACATGATGGCATAGAAATGGATCTGAGGAAAGTTCGCACCATTTTGGAATGGTCCCTCCCCGCACCAGGAAACAACTGCAAAATTTCTTGGGATTTGCTAATTTTTACTGTCAGTTTGTCCCTGCTTTTGCGAAGATTGCTCTGCCTATTACAAATATCCTAAAAACCAAAGGGGAGGTGAAACCGAAACCTAGTAAACCACTGGAGTGGTCCATGGAG